TATAGGAATAAATTTTTTTATTGATACATAAGTATATGTTACTCACTTGTCTTACTAGAAACTATAGGAATAATTTTTTTTTGATTCATAAGTATATGTAACTCACTTGTCTTAGTACAAACTATAGGAATAATTTTTTTTTGATTCATAAGTATATGTAACTCACTTGCCTCACTATAAACTATAGGAATAATTTTTTTATTGATTCATAAGTATATGTAACTCACTTGTCTTACTAGAAACTATAGGAATAATTTTTTTTTGATTCATAAGTATATGTAACTCACTTGTCTTACTAGAAACTGTAGGAATGTAACTCACTTGTCTTACTAGAAACTATAGGAATAATTTTTTTTTCACTTGTCTTACTAGAAACTATAGGAATAAATTTTTTTATTTATACATAAGTATATGTTACTCACTTGTAGGGCTGGAAACCAATAGTAAAAACCCAATATTAACAAAATATTGTATTGGTATTGGTATTGGGTCTAAAATATTGGTATTGGTTTAAACAATATTTTCTATTTCTTGTATTGGTATTGCTATTGCTATTGGTATTGGTTTATATTGGTAACTATTGGTTTATATTGGTAACTATTGGTTTATATTGGTATTGGTTTATATTCAAATTACTAATTAAAAGAATAGAAATAGTGATTATAAAACCCTTAATTTCTAATTTTAGATAAACATGGGGAAAAAAATCATGATACCATAAAATCAGGGCTAAGGTGGCCTGAATTGCTAGATAATCTCTGGCAATATTTGATAATACTGGATATCTATTTTTATTTAATTTCCACCAATCTAATGGATTTGTATCATTGGAAATTGTGGCTTCATCTACGTATTTACTTATTTCTAAGTTGTTATTATTATAATGTTTCACCTGATAAATTTTGTCATAAAAGGACAATTTTTTGTTATTTTGTGCTTCATTTGTAAGTTCCGCTGAATTGTTATTATTTATTTTATAAATATTGTATTCATTAGTAAGATATCCAATAAGAGTTTCCATATTATTATGCTTTAATAAATGACTTGATAGTTTAAATCTTGGGTCAATCATTGTTGAAATAATAAAGAGGTGTTTATTAAAATTATAGTATTTATTAAGTTTTGTTAAGTCAGCTAAAGAAGCTGTCTTTAAAATAGCATTAGGATTATTATTATAACTCTCCACATGCTCAAAAATACTGGAATATAAAGGAATAATTGTTGAAATTGTTGGAGTATTAGCACATGAGGCCATCTCTGTAGCAAAATTAAATGGTTCCAGAATATCTCGGAATATTTCTATATTATTCCAGGCTAAGGCACTAATATAATTTTCTTGATTGGTATTTTGTAAATGATTGGTATATGTTGTCAAATAGGGTTTGAGCAATATTGTTCTTTCAAGCATTTGGTATGTTGAATTCCAACGTGTTGGTACTTGGTATATCCAAAATTGGGTGAGGAAATTTTAAGTGTGGATTTTTTTCAAGATATATTTTTTCGAGTTTATTAGAAAGTTTAAAAATTTTTTAAAAATTTCTTATTTTTTTTAAAGTTGTATTTAAGGGTTCCAATGTAGCCATGACAGCCAAATGTATAATATGGCAAAAGCATTTGCACACATTATCAAAATTATCTTTTTGTTTTAAAATTTTTAGAAATGCTAAATTATTACTTGCATTGTCTGATGTAATGCAAAAAAAATTTCAAATTTTACTTTTAATACAGAATTAAAAATATTAATAGAATTATGTGCTGATTTAAAAGGAATAAAATCTAATAAATGATTATTTAATTTAAAATCATTATCAATATAATGAATTGTTATGCCCATAAAGGGTATTTTATTTGGAGAGGACCAAATGTCCATTGTTAAGGAAAATTTAGATGTAATGTTAGAAAGTACAGATTTTAAATTGATAAAAGAACTATGATAATGTTTCATAATTTCTATTTTTAGCGTTTTTCTAGAAACTAATGTTTGTATGCTATTAAATTTTTAAAAGTGATATCCTCAACTATTGAAAAGGCTAAATTATTTTGAATGAAAAAGTTTATAATTAAATTAGCTTTATTATTTATATTATTAAGTAAAAATAATTTTATTGTCTTGATTTTTTTACTGCCAATATTTATTTGCTCACATTTCTTATATAATGTTGGGTGGATGGATTTAAGATGTGTCCATAATCCTGAGGTTCCAAAATTAGGAAGTGATATTTTTTTTTACATTTATTACAAATTGCCTTTTTTTATTATCACAAGTAGTATAAAATTCCCAGATTTTTGCTGAATTTCGTCTTTTATTAGATATTGATAATTCTTCTTGTTCATTATCGCTATTATTATTAGTACCAACAACATCTATATTTATTAACTCTATTTGGTCTTCATTTATTATAATATCCTAAATAAATAAATAAAATTGATAGATATCATGTAAAAAATTTACTTCCATAATAAAAATAAACTATAATTATAAATAACAGAAATATTGATATTACAGTAGTATTTGGAAGAAACAACAGATGTAATCAGTTTTTGCAATGAAAGTAAAAAAAATACCACGATATAATTATCCACGATAAACCCAAATAATTATGTTATTTTTAATATTGGTATTGGTTAAAATTGTAATTAAACAATATATCAAAACCAATATATTTAGGTAATTGGTATTGGTTGTAAAAGCAATACCAATATTTATATATATATTGGTTTATATTGGTATTGTAAACCAATATTATATTGGTATTGGTCCCACCCCTACTCACTTGTCTTACTAGAAACTATAGGAATAATTTTTTTTTGATTCATAAGTATATGTTACTCACTTGTCTTACTAGAAACTATAAGAATAAATTTTTTTTAAGGTTTATATTGATTCATAAGTATATGTTACTCACTTGTCTTACTAGAAACTATAGGAATAAAACGTATATCTTTGTAAAAATATAAAAAAGTATTATTTATTATATTTTCGGATTTCAAATATAATAAAAAACAAAAGTACAATTTCATATATACGCATATCTTTTGTAAAAATAAAAAGTATAATAAAGTACAATTTCATATATACTTATATCTTTGTAAAAATATAAAAAAGTATTAATATTTATTATATTTTCGGATTTAATAAATATAACAAAAAACAAAAGTACAATTTCATATATACGTATATCTTTGTAAAAATATAAAAAAGTATTAATATTTATTATATTTTCGGATTTAATAAATATAAAAACAAAAGTACAATTTCAATATACGTATATCTTTGTAAAAATATAAAAAAGTATTAATATTTATAATATTTTCGGATTATAAATATAATAAAAAACAAAAGTAATAATGTACAATTTAATATATATATAAAATTTAATCAGAATAACTTGAATATATATTAGATGATTGAAAATTAACTAAAAATGATATTTTTTCTAAAAAAGAAAACAAATTTAAAATTTCTCTATCATACATAGACGTTAAATTGTCTATTTTATGATTCAATCTTTCATAAGTGCGATTTGCCCGCCGAACAATCGATCCATTATGAATTTGTATCAATTTAATATCGTTCGAATTCTGATTTTCGATCAATATTTTTATTAGGACGTACACATTCGGATGTGCACTGCTTGTTTTTCTTTTTAGGGCATGATGGAACCCCTCGAGATGGTTATTTGTGCGGGGCCCATCTACATGATACCTAATAAATATTTAAAAATGATTGATTACAATTATTTTAAGTTTTTATACCTTGTCCATATAGTATGAGGGAATAAGGCAGTTTCACCAAGCCATGTATGGTCCATATACTCCATAAAACGAAGTAAGGATAGATTATTAGTTGCTATTGAGTAGTAAGATAAACGAACTTCGGCCATATGCTCCTCCTTGCAAAATGGTAAAGTTGTCATCCGCCTAACAACTAAATGGACATAAGAATCGTTTAGATAATCTCTAACTAAACCCAAAGCTTGAGATTTCCGCCATAAAGCTTGAGAATAATGAAAGAAACATCCTAAATATTTTAAATTAAAATTTAGTATATCATAAATTAACCTTTGATCACTATATTTGGGAATACAAATCGAAGAGCAGATATAGCTGCCGCCTCAAAATCTGTTTGGCCAATTGGAGGATTGAAATAAATACCTTCACGGGTACAAAATTTTTTGACTATATGAAAAAGTTGAATATATGTCTCCCTTGATTTATCTGGAAGGAGAGCATATATAACTGGGATCATAACGTTTTCATACATAACGTGTATCCTATAAAGCTGACAATATAATCTAGGAACTATGTAGAAAGTTCCGTCCATATAAATTGTCGTAGCAGATCCCAGCAACTTTAACATATCACTAGTCCCAAAGACCAATATCCTATTATCATCGGTAGGAATATGGAATCTTTGAGATCTTGAAGATGTAGCATATGCAGGAGTTAAGACAATATCTTGAATAGAATGAGGCATGGAAGGCCTATATTTCTTAAGAATTCTGTCGATAAGGCCCCTAATTGATATGAAAGGGGGGATTGCCTCAGAATAATTTTCGATATAATTTTTCTCTAAGCATCTTATATCAATAGTTTTTTGATATATATTCATCCTCGTTGTAGGATTTTGGGCAATAGTTCTTTCAAGAACTTCTCTTGTTTTGAGGACCTCAAAATACCCGACATCAGGTTGGTGTTCATGTACGCTTGATGAAATGTAATATGGTCATATTTACATTTTGCAGGAAAGCCTTGTTTTCTGCAACGGTAATGAACTACATCCCCCCTTTCATAGTGAAAACGATAGAGATATTCTCGATAAAAGAGGAATGGTTTTCCCTTTTGACCATTAACAAATTGACCTTTAATAACATATATATATTATATCATTATATTATATTTTTACCATAAATGTTTTGATTTATGTCAAGCATAGCATATGCCGCATCTATTATTTCAAAATCATCTATAGTTTATTTAATTTTATTCAATAAAAATATTTAATTACCATCTACATTAGGCAGTAAATTTAATGGTGGGCTTGAAGAAGAATGCAATTGTAAATGTGTTACTGTAGCATCTTTAAAAATAAATGATATAAAATAAAATATTGTATTATTATACCTCCTGAGAGTCCTAATTTGAGGTATTTGGGGGATAAGATTATTATTTGCTAAAAAAATATTAAATTTAATAAAAATTTTAAAATACATTGTAAAGGAACAGGGAGCCTTGATACTGTTGCATCTTTAAAAATAAATTATATAAAATAAAATATTGTAATAATATACCTCCTGTTGCCCTAATTTGAGGAAATTGGAGGACTCTAATTTGAGGGATAAGATTATCATTTGCTAAAAAAAATATATTAAGTTTAATAAAAATTTTAAAACATTGTAAAGGAACAGGGAGCCTTGATACTGTTGCATCTTTAAAAATAAATTTATAAAATAAAATATTGTAATAATATACCTCCTGTTGCCCTAATTTGAGGAAATTGGAGGACTCTAATTTGAGGGATAAGATTATCATTTGCTAAAAAAAATTATTAAGTTTAATAAAAAATTTAAAATACATTGTAAAGGAATAGGGAGCCTTGATATTGTTGCATCTTTAAAAATAAATGATGTAAAATAAAATATTGTAATAATATACCTCCTGTTGCCCTAATTTGAGGAAATTGGAGGACTCTAATTTGAGGTATTTGGGGGATAAGATTATCATTTGCTAAAAAATATATTAAGTTTAATAAAAAATTTAAAATACATTGTAAAGGAATAGGGAGTCTTGATATTGTTGCATCTTTAAAAATAAATGATATAAAATAAAATATTGCAATAATATACCTCCTGTTGCCCTAATTTGAGGAAATTGGAGGACTCTAGTTTGAGGTATTTGGGGGATAAGATTATCATTTGCTAAAAAAATATATTAAGTTTAATAAAAATTTTAAAATACATTGTAAAGGAATAGGGAACCTTGATACTGTTGCATCTTTAAAAATAAATGATATAAAATAAAATATTGTAATAATATACCACCTGTTGTCCTAATTTGAGGTATTTGGGGGATAGGATTATTATTTGCTAAAAAAAATATTAAGTTTAATAAAAATTTTAAAATACATTGTAAAGAATTAGGGAGCCTTGATACTGTTGCATCTTTAAAAATAAATAATATAATAATTTGTTTCAATAAATGAAGAAGATATATTCTTACATTTACAAGTGTCAATATGTTGTTTTGTAACAACAATATCTACTAGTGAAAGCTTGGCTCGACTCCCACATTTACATCTACATATTAGGTAAATGTAATTTTGACCATTGCCCTTGTTTAAATATTCATAGCCCAAATAGACAATTACATCATTGTTTTTTTGGGTTTTCTAATAAAAATATATAATGTAATAATAATGGTAATTTACTTTAAATTGAATATTTGGTATCCTGGAATAATCTTGTAAATTCATATTGATGCAAAAAGGTTTCTGTTAAATATTATAAATAAAATAATCCTTTCTAAACAACTTTGGCTTATTTTTTAAATTTTAGCGGCCATTTTTTGAAGCTCTTTTTAGGGATGTTTTGAGGATGTTATTGTACGTTTTGGCAATTTTGAACATGGCGATTTAGTGGTTATACGGATTTTAGTGCGTGTTTTTAATTTCCTTGATAAATTTGATTTTATCAGATCTATTCTGAAGAGAATCTACCCTGGGAATTTCATACGATCGCCAAAAAATTTTTATATTTAATAATTTATAATGAAAATCTATATATATTAAAGGCTAAACCCTATAAATTTTAGAAGATTTTATATTGAATTTCTTAAAATTTTAATTTACATAAAAATATTTTGAAAAATTATAAAAAAAATTATTATAAATTAAAGTCTCTCCATATGTTTGTATAAAATTGTCCGACATTTATAAGTAGTGTTATTAGCTTAAAAATCAACTATACCTAATTAGGCCTAACCGAAAAATCGCCTAAAACTAATTAGACAAAATGTAGGGATTGGGAGACGTTACACAACACTAAGCCTAGCCTTAATTTTTCTATAATCCTATTTATCAAAATTAAATATATATAATTATTTTATATATATTTATTATGTAACGATATATTCAACACTATTTTGTAAATATTTCTCTTAACTTCTGAGAACTTTTCTATTAAAGATACAATAGATATTTTTTGCTCCTTTTTATCTGATGATAATTACCTTTTTTTTTCTCTATATAATAATAAAATTTCCAGATCATCAATATTGCTATCATTATCATTGTTATCGCTACAACCAGTAGATATTGTCGTAGTTCCAATATATTGTAAATAATAGAGTTTTGGGTATGCCATAAATCCTCAAGATGGTCTATAGCAATTTATTTTTGCTCAATACTTAATAAAACTTGATATCGAGGGTCTAAATATATTGAAGCATATACAACACTATTTTGTAAATATTGTTGATCTCTAATTTTCATATTTTCTAATATTTCATAAAAAAAAGAACTTGTAAATCTAACTCTAATCGATATCTTATCCATATGCCATAAAAATCCGATAAACATAACTGTTCTGCTTGCAATCTTAATCTAGTTATTTTTAAAGGAACCAACACACTAGTAAGGTCTTTTATTTGAATCCAATCATCTTCTGACAAAATGGCTTCACATGCTCCTATAATAAAATCATTACAGAAATCTTTCAAACTTATTAATCGCTCTAACATCATACAAATAGAGGACCAACTTGTTGTGCAATCTAATATTGCCATTTGCCTTTTCATAGATTTTAATATTCTTACAATTGTGGGATTTCTTAAATATTTTACAACATCCCTTGCTTTATCAATTATAGTTTTAAATTAATGGTATCAATCTCTAAATAAAATAAAATGAAGTCCAGGAAGAAAAACGAAAGAAAAACGAAAGAAAAACGCGAATATAAAATAAATGATTCTAAGAAAAAAATTAATGAAATTACATAAATTTATATTTTTACATTATTTTTTAAAATTAAAATCCCTTCACTTTTTAAAATGTCGGGTTCAGCCAAAATACGAGGGTTCAGGGTTAGGGTCCGGGTTCACCTTCCTGAAATAATAATATATTGTTAAATATATATTTAAGCTTTTTTGAAAAAAGGTATTATAAGAATCTTTAAAATAAAATTTAAAAAAAGCTCTATAATAGTTTATGAGGTAGAAGATGAAGTTTTGTGACAATGTTTTTCTAGCCAGTCATTACATTGTTTACTGGCCATAATAAATTATTTAAGAATTATCTGAAATGATTGCAAAAAACCTATCTTATATATTTCTTCATTTTTTAGGCATATAAAAATTTAATAATGTAATTAGTATTAATGTCTAAATTTATCAATATTCATTTAATGATTATACTTTATCAATTTATATCTTAATTATCTTTTTATTAAAAATTCTTATTTCAATTAATCACTATTTATTTTGAATTTATGAATTATTAACTTAACTGTTTTCAATCATTTTATCATTCATGATGTATTAAGTTATTTAGGGAATTATTAACAATAATGAAAACCATTTTATTAATTTATAAATGAAACAATCGTATCACTATTTACATACATAACATACAAATAAATCATTGTTATTCGTACATTGAGTATGAGCCCAGTTTTCAAATTGCAGACAATTAATCCACTCTTCACCTTTAAGGTTTTCTTAGGAATATTAAATTTAGTGGATATTAATAATGTTTATCTTTTATTAATGAATATATCATCATTTGCAAGTTTAATTTGTTCATCATTTGATTTTGTACCAAATATGTTTATAGCGAGCTTTTCATTTCTATATGAATATAGAATTTTGGCCAGTCAATACATATGCCTATTAAATAAAACTTAAAACCATAATTTTTTGTGCGTATAATGCTGAATGCCTAAGGATAATATTTACATAAAATAACAATAATCTAAATTAGTAATTTTTTCACCAAACAAAAAAATGTGTAACGAGATTTTTCCAGAAAGAAGTACTAAAAACAGCTTATTTAAAATTTTTTTTTATTGGATTGCTCTATTCAATAGGTAAAGTACATATCATAAAATACACATTTTGACAAATTTTGGGAGAAATCGGTCGAAAAAATAATAGTTAAAAGGTGGTGGCTAGTCTTCAAACATGGCAATTTATGCCACATTTCCCATATATATTATGTTAATGTTATTTTTCGTTTTTAATATTTAAAAACGCAAAATATTCGGCGTTTTTTTTAGTAATTTAGTAATATTAATTTTTACTTTTTTGCTTCGTAATCGCCTTAAGATCCTTATTTTCTATATAAATTATAATTGTTATATTTGCTTCACTTGCATTTTGATTTTAAAAAACAAATTTTGTTAATTTTTTTAAAAATTTTAAATAAATTGATCGATAAATATTTTCTATATTTCATATAAAGTTTAATATTTTTCTCATTTTCTGAATTTACGCAAATGAAGCTCTACAAATATAGAACGTCGATATATTTGGTATAATATGGGATTCAAATCATATTACTTATATTTAAAGAGCAATAACTATTGTTCTAGTAATCGTCAGTGTAAGATTCTAAAAATATTAGCGATAGTGTTGTTAAACGGCTCGATTTGAGCCGATTTTTATAACGGCCAATATTTTAAGAAAAATATTGCCTAAACCTCTAGATTTTTCTAATAGATGTTTAAATTAAAGGTCAGCATTGGGCGAGTTTTCTCCCGCATGATTATGCCCGGCTATAAAAAATTATTTGAAATTTTTTAACATCCTTATAATATATTCTTTTTAATTTTAAAAAAAAACTTAAAAATGACGATTATGACAATTGTCACTTTTCTAAGGTACATATTCACTGAAAATTTAATTTAACATGTTTACAATATATATTTTTACCTATTTGCTTCAAAAAAATTCGAAAAAACTTAAAAATGACGATTATAACAATTGTCACTTTTCTAAGGTACATATTCACTGAAAATTTAATTTAACATGTTTACAATATATATTTTTACTTATTTGTTTCAAAAAAATTCGAAAAAACTTAAAAATGACGATTATGACAATTGTCACTTTTCTAAGGTACATATTCACTGAAAATTTAATTTAACATGTTTACAATATATATTTTTACCTATTTGCTTCAAAAAATTCGAAAAAACTTAAAAATGACGATTATGACAATTGTCACTTTTCTAAGGTACATATTCACTGAAAATTTAATTTAACATGTTCACAACATATATTTTTACCTATTTGCTTCAAAAAAATTTGAAAAAACTTAAAAATGATGATTATGACAATTGTCACTTTTCTAAGGTACATATATACTGAAAATTTAATTTAACATGTTTACAATATATATTTTTACCTATTTGCTTCAAAAAAATTCGAAAAAATTTGAAGATGACCATTATGACAATTGTCACTTTTCTAAGGTACATATTCACTGAAAATTTAATTTAACATGTTTACAATATATATTTTTACCTATTTGCTTCAAAAAAATTCGAAAAAACTTAAAAATGACGATTATGACAAATTTTAACGCAAACCGACCCAGCAAGCCGACCAAATGGGTCGGCTCAACAGGCCTATTAGGTCGGATTGGGTCGTGAGCAGATTTCTACGACTTCGGCTCGGGTTGTAGGTCGTAAAAAACCAACCATTTAACCACACTAGCATGATGAACACATTCAAATGAGGGAATAAATATCCCTATTTAGTAAAGATAGAACGAAACGAAATAATGCTGATCAACTGTAAAAATGGGATGTAGCGAAAGAAATGGAGAAGTCAGGGAGAGAGGAAGGAAATATGAAGTCGGAAATAGTTGAGGAAAAGACTGATGAAATTTTATTGCCTCGAGAACTAGGAACAACAATGAGTCGGAAATTACAACGATCGAGGTAGCCTGCCTACACATCGTCTGATTGAGAAATTTTAAAATATTAAATGTGGTTAATATGATAAATGGTATATAAGATATTATTATAGTTCATACATAGAATACATTCTATTTGGATTATTTTATGATGTTTATCATGTTTTTTATGATTGACAGCTATGATATACTTTTTGTTATGGGGAATAAATGATTACACTAGAAAGATTACTTTAGCACCCGATCTAAATTGTCAAGACAAAAGCGCTCCAATGGGAAATTACCGATTAAATGAAAATATAAACTAGAATAGAATTAGTTGGAAATAAATTCATTTGAGGAATGAAAATTGTAATGCTGAGAAGAGACGTCGTTGGGTTTTGGGTGTGAAAGCCAAAATTAGCATCAGCTTTAAAATAATTTGCACACATTAAATAACAATCACATAATTTTAGAGCCTATTTTAAATAAATATTCCTTGTGGTATAATTATTTTATTATTAAAATGTTTTTCCTTGCCTTAAATACAAAATGGCGAAAAGTCAAACATAATATATGAAATAAAGGTATATAATCTATAATTATTTTATAAATTAATATTTCATTAGATGATCCTACATATCAAAATGAATTAAACCTAATATCTGGATATCGTTAAGGTTGTATAATTTCAATACATAATCATTTTTACCCATTGTGCTTCAGTATTTTAATTCTGATAAAATTATTATCATAAAACAAACTTCAAAGAATCTAATTTTTTTGATAATTGGGTTATTTTAGGATTTAATATGAGTAAAGCATTTGAGTTAGATTCTACATTTGTGCTAGATATTATTTTGATTTGAGACTATATGTTTATTTTAATTAATTATAGTAAAGCATAAAATCTAGTGTAACCCTACAGAAGCATGAGCAATAACGGGCTGAAGCTTCTCCCTTTCCCCAGAAATTTATACATAAATACTGTAAATTAATTTATAGATATTTTAAGATAATAAAAAAAATTAGCCATTTATAGCACGCCCTTTTATATAAAACTCCCTACATCCCTGGAGTCGCGATGGAAAGAAGAAAATGAAAGAGATCCTTTCATAAAGATTAAATAAATTTTATATTGAATAATCAATTTAAGAAAAAAATAGTCTATTAGTACAATTTTTTATTTGCACAAGTTATAATCATATGCTTAGAATTAAGGTAATCTTAATAACAAAATCATCCTTATATTAAAATATATGATTAATCAATTTAAGAAAATGATTCGTACCCAAACCTAAACCTGTACGCCGCAGACCACGCTAGCACCGCCTGTAATTTTATTCACGCCGGAAATGCCGCCGATTGAGAGTAGCATCGCCGGCTCACCGCCTATTTTTTTTTATGGCGGCGGCGCGGCGTTCATAATTTTTAGAATGCTGTTTAATAATATTTATATATTATATTGTTATTATTTAAATTTGAATATTAACATTAATAAAATTAAAATATGAATTTTATTCTATAGCTATATATAATAGAATAGTGTAATCATTTACGTTCATCCTACATCATATGTTATTTCCACACAATATATTTTCATGGACCTTCATGTTTTATACCACGCTATATACTATTATGAAATAACAGCTCTCTCTACTAATCATAAATCAAGTTATGCCTGGAGGTATTTTGGAAATCTTATTTTGAAGATTGAAAATAAGAAAAGCACAATAATGTCTGATTATAATTATTGTGAACCTTGCTTAAAATTGAGGGAAAAAAATGAGGAAGATTCGGATAAACTTAATACATTTTCACAGTAATTTATTATAAATTTAAACTTAAATTTATATATAATTTATATTTAAGTTATGAAATAAAATGTTTTAGTAAATATATAAGTACAAGTAACCTTTCTCGGCACATAGATAATGTTGATAAAATATCAGAAAAAATTAATTATAATAAATCCATTCAAAGACTAAAAATATTTTTTAAACCAACACCAAGATGTAGCAACAATATAAAGGATAAAAAATGGCTCTTAGGTTAGTATTAAATTTTTAACTGGTTGCTTAAATTAAATTTATTAAGCTTTATTTTGAAAGTTCCGATTTCAAAATCTTGAAATTGTTTCAGAATATTATAAATTCGAATTCTACGACGTCATCGCAATTTTTAATTAAGAGATTCAAGTTGAAGATAATGGGCAAACATTCAGTTCTTATATAGCTAAAATAACTCGTAAACATCCTTCTAAGCAATGATTATAACAACATTAGTAATCTAGAACAAGAATGTCATATTTTGCTAAGCGAACATAATATCCCAGAAGAGGATGCATTAACGTTTTGGAAGAAAAAGTGACTGGAAGTTCATAGGCTTGCTAATTTAGCTAGGAAGAAGATTCATTATATATTTGCAGCCAGTACACACAGCGAAAGTATTTTTTCCATTGCAGGATACTCAATGCAAAAAGGACTTCTTTATGTCTCACCTATCTTGATAAAATACTATTTATTCATGACAATTATAATTTTCCTTTGAATTCTGGTTTATTATATTTTATGCTTTATTTTGCTTGCATTCCAAATTTATATTTTAATCTGTTATAATAAAAATCAATAGAATATTACTAATATGTGTTGCTTATGTGACTTATCTTTGTAAAAATGCAATTCCTTAATCGACTTCCGAGAATGAAAAGATACATAAATTTAAATTTAAGTGAGACAGGAATAATTTGAAATGAACTAAACTATATTAAGTGTTAGAAAAGAGACCTCAAATAAATTATAAAAAAATGTAATACATTGATTTATAAATTAAATTCATTAAAAAATTTTAAAATAAATATCGTGCCGCCACCGCCGATAATTTGATGGCGGCAAAATCAACGCACGCCGAACGCCGAACGCCGATGAAAAAATCAAAAAATACCGCCGCCATCGATTGAGACATCGGCGCACAGGTCTACCCAAACCTATTTTTCAAGTGCCTCCTTGTGAGAATTTTCAAAATATTTTATCATTATTAAATAGTAATATTTTAGTTTATTGTAATTGAAATTGAATAAATATTTTATTTAATATATATTTTATTTTTTCCAATATAGATTGTGTTTTTATAACTAATAAAATCTTATAAATATTATTTATTGATATTAGTGTATATCACTATCGTAAACCTAATAATAATTGATTATTTATGTAATGTTTTGGGAGATTTTTATCAAAGAGATGTCAATTTTTGTTATCACATGAGTTAAACTTAAAGTTTGAAAGGAAATGTGTCAAATTTATGCCAAATTCATTACATGCTTAAAACAGCTGATTAACTCAATTTTCTATGATTTTAATCAAAGATTATATTTGTTGCTGTTGTAATGAACCAATGGGAGAAGTTAATTAATTATATGATACACTATCACAATATATTAAAAGAATGAAATAGATGAAAGATCACCATTGCTCAATCCTAATCAACACGCTTCAAACATGTATTTAAAAAATTTATACATTTTAGTATGTTTTTAATTGTAATAGAAATGAAATAATTATAGACGTTCCTGTTAACGATGAAGGCTCATGTCTAAATAATATACTTCACAAAACTGCAAGGTATTATTGATATAAATAGAATACATAATAATTAAATAAAATGAATTCTGAAAAATAACTATTTAGAAGTTGCATGTTACATTTTTAAAACAAATAGGTTTGTGATTTACATATTTTAATTAAAGCAATTTAACTCTAGACAATTTATAAATTTTAATAAAAGCAATTTAATCCTAAAATACTTATATTAGCAAAAGGTTTTACTAAATCGAAATTATCATGAAGTGAATTGTCATAACATTGAAATAACTTCCAAACTAAAAACTATCAAGTTTTTATTTAAAAATATTTTTTAAATTTCTGTTTCATATACCATTTAAAATATTAGATATTTTTTGTGCAATTTTAATAGAAATTTACTCAAACTTTTGCCAAATTGCTTTTTTATATTGTCCATTTACATATTATTTGGGAAGGGAAAGTTTGGAAGAATACCTCAATTGCTTATTAAGTGTAATAAATTAGTATTTTATTATATTATCTTAAAAAAAATAATAGAACATTCTATTTAAAATTAAAATTATGTGAATATAAATTATATTATTTTATTTGACAACTTGAATTAAATATATAAATAAATCGATGAAATTATTATAGTTTTGTATGGACGAGATGTAAGAAAAAAAAAACTATTTATATGAATAGTATAGTTTAATTTTAAATGGTGGGGTAATTCCATACCAAATCGATAACTTTTCAGCCCGACCTTTTTATTTTCGATAAAATTTTGTATGCTGATAGAATATCATTAGAAAGCATCGAATCCAAAATTTTAGCCTCCTAGTACTCATAGTTCCTGAGATATCAATGGTCAAAAGTGCCAAAAATGACCTTTTATCGAAAAATACGATTTTTTAAAATGGAGATAAGTTAAAAAATAATGATTTTAAAAATATAAGTTATATATCATTTTGTAACTCTATTAAAGGCCTTTTATTAAATATTAAGGATTTTTTTGAAATAATATTGTTGCGGTTTTTATTTACGTTATAAATTTTAAACATGAAAACTCCAGGTGTTTCGCTTTCCAAATTTTTTTGATTTTAATATTATTCTCTAACCTATCTATTCATAAAAATTTTTTTAACTTGGGACAGCCATGGGTTTTTTAGTCATTACGATTTAAAAAATCAAAAAATAAATATTTTTTTCAAAACTACATAGCTCCTTTATAAAATAACGTGTTTTGTTAAGTTTATTATTTTTTTAAACTTTTTTCATTTTTAAACATAAATAATAAGATTTTCCAGCATTACTATCATGAAAAAATATTATATATAGTTTGATAGGCTTGCTTATTATTATTATTATATTGATAACTTATAAAAATTGGTTGTTTTTATAATAAATGATTAAATTTCTTAAAAAGATAGTTAAGATTCCATAAGTTCTCATGCACCTGCCCTAATATTAATTAATTTTTTATTTATAAATATTTTGATATTAATATTTTTTCTTTTTAAAATTATTTATAATGTATAAATATAAATGCGTTAAATCCTTTTAAAGAATCTAAACACTTTAATTATAAAAAGAACCTGCGTATAGTCATGACGTGGATGACACAATATCCAAACATTCAGGCGGAACACTATATTTGTGATAAATGTCGTAAACGATTATCACAAAAAAATATTGAAAATATAATTATTTTGATAGCTAATATGTAAATAATATCAACACAGCATCAACATCAATAGATACAATCAATATAACTTTAAACGAAATTGGAATATCTCCTATTACGAAAAAAAAATTATCTAAAAAAAGGATAGCGAAAATATAAAAAGCTTATTTCAGATATAATAATTAACAATCCAGAATCGGGTACAAAATATAATAATACTCAATAATATGAAATTACAATATCCTAATTTATCTAAAAATAAAAAAAAATACCAATTGCTGACCATTCTGCCTCCTAATTGGAGCGCAAATAAAATAAAAACGACATTCAACGCTACATAATCATATGGTATGGCATATAATTCCAAAATCGTTTTAGAAAAAAAGGAAATTCTTTCAACTCCAAATCGAAAGCCTGCAAATATATCTCAATAAAAAAACAGTTGATATTGTTAAAAAATTTTTTGTGATGAAGTTAGTAGGGTATTACCAGGAAAAAAAGAATGCATAATCTAGCATTGAAAAGGGGGAACGAGTGAACGCTCAAAAAAGGTTAGTTCTTAATAATTTGAAAGAATTATATAATCATTTTAAGGCGAGTAATTGTTTAACTAAACTCAACACTAAACTATATTCTAATTCGCAGACATTTATTGTGGAGAATATAGTATATCCACGAGGATCCTTTGATTAGAGGATATGTAACATGTGCATATGAAAACGATTGGTGGTTAGGATGTACAAGAAGTGAATGTAATTAGAGAAGTAAAAATTAATTTTCTTCACTCTAAAGGACCAGCAAATTCTTTTGTTTATCCAGCTGCACAAGATATCCTTTTCATACCAAAAAATAATATTTTAACAATAGTAAGCCTATCAACGGCTACTGTGCGTACATATAATTTATCGCAACACGAAATTATCATGTCGTCAAAAAAACTAAATTTAATGAAAAACCGAAAATAGAATTTTAATTTATCTATTAATAAAATTATATTAAAAATAACGGAATTTAAGAAAAATATATAATTTAACAATTCTAGAAATTTTAAGAAATTTAACAACCAACGACTTCATAATACAAAGTATAATAATGGGAATATAATTAGTGCAAATGATAATACGAGGAAGAGGGGGGGGGTAATTTTAAATGATTTAGGGAAGAAGAAGAATATCTAGATTAATCGGGCTCCTCGGGGAATGAACCTATGAAGCATGTGAAATTAGATTTTATAATCTGAATTCCTATGCGTTGACGTAAGTAGACGCCTTCTTTTGGGTCTCCTGATTTTGTTCTTAAGGTTCTGCCAATCTTTTTAATTAGGCTAAGAGCCTGACTTAGAGATGTTAAGGTTGTCGTGACAACTGGTACGAATTTATACTCATATATCTCAGGAACTATGAGTACTAGGAGGCTAAAATTTTGGATTCGATGCTTTCTAATTATATTCTCTCAGTGTGCAAAATTTTATCGAAATTAAAAAGATCGAGCCGAAAAGTTATCGATTTGGTATGGAATTACCCGGTGGTGATTCCTTAAATGGTGATGATACCTTAAATGGTGATGATACCTTAAATGGTGATACCTTAAATGGTGATGATACCTTATATGGTGGTGATACCTAAATGGTGGGAATTTATTCTTAAATTAAATAATGTTGATTTAGTGGATAAAAGAAAAATGACAGGCTTATTCACTTTAAATTTGATATTTTGAAAATAGATGACCAAAAATTAAGCAAACTTGTCCATTCACCACATATGGTGACCATCCATTAGATGTTACGGGTGAGACCCAAGTTAATATTAAGATTTGATCACAGACAAGGACCCTACCTGTGCTAATAATGAACTCTAATGGGGAATCTCTTCTAGAATTACTATAAATAGTAGCATTCAATTTAGAAACTCATCAAGTTTCGATAAATCAAGTGCGGAATTTGGTAAAGGTTGCTTTGTTTGACCAACATCAAATCTCGCTATTGACAAAGAAAAATGTTGCCTAGCAATAGATTCTAGAATTAGTTAGTTACACCAAGCAATTTTCAATGATAAGATGGGACATTTACATGATTTTGAGGTGCGAATACATTTAAGGAATAAAGCTGTACCAAAATCGTCAGCCCATAGGGTAGAAAGGCCAACTGGTGGCTGTAGGAATTATCGTAAAGATTGATTCATCTGGGTACAGTGGTCAACGCCAACCTTGAATGTCCAAAAGAATTATGGCATTTGAATTTGCACTGATTTTAAAATTATGCATAATTCTTGTTTATTGTATGCCCATCATGTTATTCTTACCTTCGACGATTTTTTAAAGAAAATTCAAGGTAATGGAAGTAGAATCTGAATCTCAGGAGTTTTTAACGATAGCGACTCATAAGGGGTATTTTCGTTTTCGACAAATGTATTTTAAATTGGGTAGTGCACCTACTATATTCCAGATATGGATGAATTGTTAAAAGATGGTCAAATGGCCGGTGCTTACTTAGATGATATAATTATTTCTGGTCGAAATGATGAGCACATAAAATTTGCGGATCTTGTTAGACAGATTACAGACGGCTAGTCTTAAGGCGAAATTGATGAAAGTTCGATTTTTACAAAAATCCGTATCATTTTTAGGGATTATTGATAAATCCGTTATACATCCAAATACAGAAAAGGTGAAGGCTATCCGGAATGCACCAAACCTAAGAATTTACAACAACTTAGATCTTTTTTGGGACTCTTGAACTATCACGAAGATTTTATCTGTAATCTACATAATAAAGCTGCGCTATTACATAAATTAATGAGCGTGAAAGTACCTTGGCAGTCGATGAAAGATGAACAAGATTTCTTCAAGTTTCTTTATCAATCGAAGCGTAGTGTTTCTCTGATTTTAATAAAGTCCGTAATGCGAACGAGATTGGTTTTGTCCTTCCGTCTACTAATTTATGTAATAACGCAGTTACTAATCTAAATAAGATGCGTCGCATTCCAAAATTATTGAGCAACTGGGCGTTATAAGGAATTAACCTTTCCTATGATGATAGTAATTTTTTAACCTCTTTTAGTTTTATATTGAAAAATTTCATTCATTAATTTATGGTAAAAAATTTTTACTTCGAACTTACCACAAACCATTAGAGCGATTATTTGGGGAGAAACGAGATCTACTTCAAATTTCTAATAATCGTTTGACTCGCTGGGCCTGGAAGGTGGCTTCTTATGATTTCACAATTGATATAGGCCTGTAAGTAGAAATGTGATTGCAGATGCATTATCAAGTCTCCCAATTTTGGACGTGGAAGAGAATCAAGATTCTCAACATACATTGGAGATTCGAAGTATAAATTTGAATGACATGCATTTGGCAGAAAATAGTTTACGAAAGGAGTCGAAGCAAGTTTTAACATTTAAAAAAATAGAACGGCATATTCAGCAAAGCTGACGTAACTTTGATCGTCATAGATAAAGAAATTGTTAATTTTTATAATCAACGAGAAAAATTATCTATCGATTGTGATATCATAGAATGGAATGGGAGATTGGTTATTGCCAATAAATTAAGGAATGCAACGCTAGAAATGGTTCATCGGGAACATCCTGGTGAAAATATAGTGAAATCGATTTTTAGATTATATCGTTTATGGCTAGTTAGGATATCGATATAGAAAATTATACCAAAATATGCTCTGGCCAGATAAATAGATCTGGATGTATTCTTGGACTATAGGCAAGTAATTCTGGGAGCGAATCCATAATGAAGTAGATTCGCGATGGCTAATTGGTGAAGATTACCCAAATGGTTAGAAATTGATCTAATACAGAATCTTTGCTGAGACTATGATTAAACGATTAAAAAATGGTTTGCTAGGTTTGGAATACTCAAGTATATTGTGTTTCTTTTTTAATACTTTTTTTTTGAACAATTAGAATATAAAATTCGAATTTTTTTCTAATTCTCATTTTACCATTGGTTAATTTCATAAATATCATTTTTATTCTAAAAAATAGTAATATTATAGATGTTGCTGCAACTGATAGTTATATTTTTGATCAAAATGAATTTATGGATAGGACTCAATATTATAAGTAAGAAAAATCGATATTATAAATAATAGAAATCAACATTTATAAGTAGTATTATTAAACGGCTCATTTTGAGCCGATTTTTAAAAACGATTAACTAAATATTTTATTCAGAAAAATATGCAAGCCTTATGATTTTGCTCATATATGGCCAAAGGATTGAACATCTATTAACGAAATTTAGAGTCTTATGCACTATTTTCTGTCGCAAATATTGAGTTAGCCGTTTTTAAAAATTGGCTCAAATTGTCGTTTAACAACACTATTTATAAGAAATAGAAATCAGCATTTTAATATAAATCGTATATTTTAGGAATACTAAAAGAATATTCCATTACAAATCAGTATAAAAAAGGGACCATTTTGAAACATCTTTTAAATCAAATGAAATTTAGTATAATGGTTAGATGTGGTGTTATTATTGCAATTAATTATTACCTTAGTTATATATTACGGAGATATGAGCGTTTGTACTTTTAAATGGTGCGTTGCCCAATTTTGTAATATACATAAAAATAAAGATTACTCAAAAGTATAAATAAGAAAGTCCTATAAATCTTCGAAAAAATTTTATTATTCGCTTTTACATAAAAAATTAACCAACATTTAAATCTTTTAGTATTTAATCAGTGACTTACAGCGCTCAATTCAGGCCCAACATAACCCCAGGAATAGTTATTTTTATTTATTGGCTTGGCCGATAATATGTTCAATGACCCCCCCCCCCCTCCTCAGGTAACTATATATATTATTCAGCCCTATCGAAAGTCCGACGCCTGGTCAAAACGAATTTACTAAAAAATTATAATGGGAAAGAGGCCCAACCGTACATTTTGTACATAAAAAATATATGATCCGGGCCTCGCGAATCTACTTAGTATTCTTTGAAATAACAACAACGAGCTAATTTTTTTTCATTTTATTTTAAGAACTGCCAAACTAAATTATTTAATCCCTAATTTATAAAAAATTATTGGCCGGGCTGGACATTTCGTAAAATTCTAATGGGCCAACCCGGGCATTAAAATTTTGATATTTTTTTTTGAAGTTAATATTATGATTAATAATATACAATACAGATATGAAAATGCAATTGATTTAGAAAACGGTTGTTATATAATTAGTTACTGAAAATTTAAAAAAAATCCCGGAATTGAGATTTATTTTTAGTCAAGAGCTTCCTAATTTTTGGAATAAAACTATTTTACAGCCCAGTGACCGGTTTGGACCTGCAGGTCTTTGATAAATATATTACTTGATAAAAAAATGTAATGTTTAAAAATGACAATTTATGCAAAAAATTGATTTCTCAATGAAAATAATAATTTATTTTTTAGAAAAACTGAAAATTTGTAAATGTTGCCAAACAATTAAAAAATGTCCATATTTTTATTTCAAGGCAACCGGAATAGGCAAAATGTTTAAAAGTTTGGGCCTGGCCTGTCTGAAAATATATGGGCGAAATTTTTAAAAAATTTTATTCACATATTTAATAATAAATATTTTGATACTTATTCATTTTTTCTATAATAATATGGAAATTCATTAATTGATATATTTTTATTTTTGACATATTTCGATAACTCTAATTGTTATCTTTGTAAATCAATTATTACAAATTTGTTGACTTTATAAATTTTTAAACCTTATTCGCTTCTTATATCAAATTCCCGTTGAAATCTTTAAAATACTCTTTAAATTATCAAAAATCTATCAATTATTTTTAAAGGCCTGAAAATAAAATTTTTAGTTTTTCCGGGACAGTTTAGGCCTGGAATTTTGAGCGCTGGAGGGGATTGATACTTAAATTCTAATAAAGGTAATAATTTTTTTTAGTGGCCATAGAATAAAAAATTATGAATTAAATATCTAATTCTAATACCAATTTTTACTCCTATGAATTTATATAGAATACATTTATGTTACTTTAATTAACGTTTATGCTAAATTTTAGAAACTTCGAACTCGTCACGGCATCTAAAATAGTCCTGTATCTTTTCGAAAGTGATAAAGCACTGGAAATATTTTTGGGGTTTTCTTTAAGGGCTATCTAATGACATCGAATTAGGTGTTTATCATTTAATTCCGAGTATAATCTATATTTTTAAACATATTGTAAAATTGAGCAACGCATCATTTCTAAACTTTAAATTATCTTCGGAACTAATAGTGCTGGGGCAAAATTTTAGAATGCAATAATCCTCACGACATAATTAAGATATTTATTATTTTATTGAAAAATGTCTCCGAAACTTTTCTGATTTCACGTGGAATGATCTTAAAATAATATGCTAGAACTCCATTATACCATGTTTACAAGTTATATCGAACAAAATTTTAAAATTCTATTAAATATTAAATAGAACTGTTTTGTCAAATATTTCTCCTTTAATTTTGAAACAAATTGCTTTCAAAATTGACAAAAATCTCGGGAGCTCTTGCACGTACTGGAAGCACGAAGATATTAACAAATTATTTTCTGGAGAAGTTAGTAAAAGCATTTCAAATAAGCCACAACATGGAGACACCAAACATACTTCTCGATATTCCTTTACCAAAATGTTAAATATTGGTGGAAAAGGAGATTATAAAAATAAAAGTGGAGTCGCAAAATCGAAAACTTCTAAAAATAATCTCACCTTGAATATTGAAGAAGATCCACAAATATATCTAAACAAGGTTAATTAATATTGCGAATTAAATTATTCGATCTTAATATTTAAACTATATTTATTTTTGTATAGAATTATCCTCATATAAAAAATAAAGAAATCATCCAAAATACTATATTAGGAAGTTGGGTATCGACCGTTAGGTATAATGGTTCGGCCTTATTCCATTTATTATTGTTCGAGTTATTTTTAAAAACTTCAATTGGTTCAAAAAAAATTTTTGAAAAATAAAAAATCAAGAGGAAATAACATATAATCACTTATAGATTTGTATTCGTATTTTTTTTAAAAATATTTCAAATTATGCAAATAATTTTTAACTAATAATTATAATTTAAAAATCGATAGATAGTAGTTATAACGGCTTCCTTCACTTTTTTTTGATATTTATATTGTTTCTGTTACTGTTCGGAAAATTATAACAATTCCATTTTTGCCATCGCTTCGAACCCTGTTAGGAAGGAATTATAATTTAATAAAGGCTCCTATTGAATCTCTCAGAATTAAAACTGAAATGCTCAGAAAAAAATATCCTTAAGGCTTTGTACGACCGGCTGTTTAGCCAGCTATTAGGCTTCAATTAAACAGCTTAAAAAGTAAAAGAAATTTTTAAAAAAAATGAAAAACGAGAAACGAGAAAAAAATACGAAAAAGAATGCCAAATAACAATTACACTGCACTTAAAACAGACCATTGTGCCTAGTTCAAAAGCTGTTTAGTCTAGGTTAAATAATATTAAGTTACAAAATAAGTCGAATCAGGACACAGCCTAAACGCTCAGAATAAATACTTAACGTTCAGAAAATATGCTCAGATAAAAAACTTATTTGCCTAGAAAAGAACTAATTGTTCAGACTTAAATGCTGAGATTAAAAAATGATTTGCTCAGAAATGTATAGAAACGCTCAGAAAAAAGACTTTAAAAAAATCTCTACTATGAAATTTAGGAAAAATTCGTATCCTAGTTCGTCTTATTTTTGAAATTTATGGCTTAATAGATTTTAGAACTTAGCTAACCCTGTTTTGGTCTTTGTACATTATATAAAATTTGTTATTTATATATTTTTTCGGTACAATTAATAAAGAACCGATATCATTTTCGTAAATCTAAATAGTTATTCATTTTAAGTTATTTGAAGCTATTAGATGTGTGCAAATGTCGAAATTTTCGCCCATCCAGGTTGGGATTTAGATTTCGCTCGATCTGGCTCGGTTCTAATTTTTTTACAAAGGTTGCTCACCCCGGTTTTTTAAAAATTTCTGTCAGTAATGATTTGACCATGTTTTGAGATTAAATTATAATTCGAGATTATGATTTTATTTATAGGATAGATAAATATATTAAAAAATACAAAAATTCTATTAAAATAAAAATATAAAAAAATTATAAAATTCATTTTATATACTTTCATAATTAGAATTTAAAAATAATAAATAATTAACGCCAAGCAATTTAGATCTATAGAAGCTATATAAGCGGCTAAACAGATGATTATTTAGAAATAAAACAAACCGAGACATGGCCTAAATATTTTTTAATTCTAATAAAATTTTTGAGCATTTAAGTTTTTATTCTGAGCGAAATAATATAAGCCTTTAATAAATTTATACTAAGATCCTAAGATAAGTGTTTAATATAAATATTTTATAATAAACTTATTTATTTAGTTACGATAATAATTTTGTTTTAAAAGAATCCTCATTTTAGCTCTCAAGGATTGGGCGAAGAAGCAATAATTTCTCAATGCAAATATTTGTGTGAATTTAATCGTTCAAAGAAAGATCTTGAACAAGTTCAAATAATCGAAAAAGTTTGTTATTTTATTCTTGGAGTATAAAATTAGCAATTCGCGGAATGATACATTGTATTAATGCTGTAATTAAAGATAACACGCTAAATATTTAAAATAATATTAAAAACATGTAGGGTAATTCTAATTTTTATGAATTTATTATAATAGAAAAAATCTTTTTTAGTATGGATTAGTTCTATTTATGATAAATATTATTTCAACTTTTTTGCACCTTTAAAATATCCAGAACCTCTTGGTTCTGGTAATAATTTAGAAAACTATTTAGCTTTAAAATTTTTAAACCACCAAGATATATTATAACCCATATTTGTAATTTGGTACATAATTTTGATATAAAATTTCATATATTTAAAGATCGATATATGGTATGAAAATATTTTACAAGCCTTAAGTCAAATCAAGATTCAACATAAAGAAGATTTTGTTATACAATTTTGAAAAATAATTGTTAAAAAATTTTTAATTAATTTAATAATGTCAAATATTTTAAATTTATATTATTAAAATAAAAATTGTATATGAAATAAGTATAGTATTGTTGATTATTTTATAACAAGCTGGCCAGCCCAACACAAATGACGGAAATTATCGTTGGTTATAAATCCCAAATGGCGATGAAAAACAAATGATGGAAAATCATAACAGGTAATAGTGGATTGTGGTCATTTATGGTAGCCATTAGTAAATTTAAAAGTAAAGTTTCTTTGACTGTTACTAATGATTTGAAATAAAAAATAGTAGTGAATCATCAGTGTAAATTAATTACAAATGATGGGAAATACCATAAAATTAGTATTGCTAGTTTAAATATAAAAATTTTATTTATAAAACATTAATACATAGCACAATATCATCGTTGTACCGAGACCTTTAAAATTAATTCGATTCCTTTGAATAACCATAATTTACCTAGGATTATTTGGTCATATTTATTGAATTTTAATCATAAATATTAGTAAGGCATATAAAAATTAATATAATGTATAATTATTAAAAACTAAAATATAGTAAATTCCAGGGATGTTAACCCGGACCCTTGTATTTTTGCTGAATCCAAACCCTGACTTTTTAAAAGTGGATAGTTCAAGAGTTCTAAGGGCTGAGATATTTTCTATTTCTTGTTTTGGTAAAAATTATTAATAAATTAAGAATAAAAATAATGATTAAAAAAAACTATAATCTAAAAATGGAAAGAGCATTGCTGTTTCCCAAAAAGGGGCAGAGAACCAACCCTCGAAATTTTACTGCATCAATCCTTTTTTAAAACATGATTCAAAATTCTAGATGAAAATTTTTGAAATATATTTTTTTCTTTTGAAAACGCACTTTCAGAGCTAATCGAGGCTGAATTTCCTGATGTATATTCTTTATGTAAATTACACCAGTCGATAGCTTATTTATAGGCAACTAGTATTATGAGTGTACTATTTAATTTGAGTTCAAAATAATGTGCAAATATGAGAAAGGCAAATTCCAAAATATGATTTTCCAGCGTAATTTTGTTATATTTGTCCCAAATTCTCATTTTATATAATATCTATTGGCATTTTTTTTTACATGATAAATTAAAATTTTGAATATAAAATAAATAAAAATATAATAGTGTTAAAATTAAATTAATTATTGGAATATAAATAAATTTTAGTAATTTTTAGCGTACAACTATATTAAATTAAAATAATGGAAATTGTGCGCAACTCTCCTACTACCATTATTTTTAAAAAGTTGCCAAACCTTAACAACTGATATGTAGATGGTATAAAAATTATTTTACCTTGATGTCAGAAAACCTTTTCTGAAATATAATTTAAAGATCTACAAAACATTTTAGGTCTAATAAGCCACATGTGTGTTTTTGGATAATCTGTAATTACAAGAGTTAACCGTATTACTTTATTTGGATTGGAATCAAATAAAGGTCCATAAGTTTGTTATAAAAGTCTTTAGTTAAATAAATTAAATTTTTAAAAAGGAGGAACACTATATATTTATGTACATTCGAGTAGTAGAAATTGCATGTGGCGAAGAACTGTGAAACACTGTAGATGGGCAAGAGGGATTAGACATAGTGTCAAATATCATATTAGTCATAAGATCCCTACATCGTTGATAGGTGGTATCAATGTACACGTTCATTGCTTTGCCTAATTTACGATCTTTTTAGGTAGAGATCTGCAATGATTGGGTTTTTATTCTTGCAGGCGTGGTCGGGTTTTCTAAAATATTTTTAATATTAGGCGGGTAGCGGGTTAGTTAAAATTTTCTGGGGGTGGACGGGTGAATTTTTAATATTTTTCAGGCGAAATGAGCAGAACGGACTTCAAATTAGTAAAAACAATTGTTTTATTGCATATTATATATATGTTTAATTTAAAATTAATAAGAGCCAAACCAGCCATTAAAATAAATTTTAAATAGACGGGCGAGTTAAACAAAATAAATAAATGGGCGAGTGGCAAATTTTAAAAATTATAAGTATGAGGTCAACGGGTTAATTCCAAAACAATGAGTGGGCAGGCTTTTTAGTTAACCCCACCCCCCCCCCCCCCCACTCTAGTTTATCCATCAAAATTAAATATATATAAATGCATTATGAGCATTTATCTGGCCCAGAGCTAGTCCAAAAGAGTGATATATAATTGTAAATTATAAAATAGAACAAAGTGACAACTGATACTCAGGTAACGGTCAGCCGTTATTAATATGAAAGCAAGAATTTATTAATTTAGAGATGGCTTTTCTTGAAATCAGTTTAATATAAAATATTTCAAATAAAATTATTTAATGATGATTCTTTTTATCAAATAGGATAAACTTACTTAGGGTTTCATAGAAGGACGCATATTTAAAAATGGTGGATTGAATGCATAGAAAATAATAAAATAAATATAAAGAACCAACATTACGCTATAATCTGACCATATTTAGATATTTTATTTTATTTATTAAAACTGAATAATTTATATAAAGATATCGATGCATAATCTATATAATATAAAAAGAAATATATTGTTTCGTTTATTGTCCGAGATCATTAACAAAGTCTTTGATGTGAGGATATTTAGAGGGTTCATAAATGGCATTCTTGTTTATACTATTTTTCATTTTGTCAGCCAGCATAGTTCTGAAAGATTTTAACAAATTTTCATCCAACATCATTCTAGTAAACATTTCCTATTATTTATATTAATAAATATGGTAATTAATTTTAATATATATATTATTAATAATTTATTAAAATGGGCAAAAATTAAATATATTTTTCCCCTATAAAACTCACATCAAATTCAGTGAATGAAAGAAGTATTCCAGATTCGTGCAGCGATTTTTCCAACATATCTCTGAGATATACATCGATGTAAGGGGAACATAACCTGGTATTTTGGAAGTTCTCCATCATCTAAAAAATGATCATAATGGTAATCGTATTAAAATAATGCATTGGTAAATTTACTTAATCAATTTAACAATATTTTTTTTACTTTTCTTCTTTTTAAGGGCATCCCAGATATATAAGCATCACTATAAGTCATTAAAACTGGTTCGGCGTTATCTGTAGGCAAAGATCTACTTGTTCCAACTTCATTATTATTCAAAGAATCGCCGTTAATCTTATTAATATCATCTTCTATGGTGTTTATCCATTCCTAAATAAAATATTTAATATTAGAATAAGAGGCCAATATTAATTAACATAGAAATAGAAAGGAGTTGTATTTGTAATCTTGAAATTAAATGCTTATTAGTTATAAAAATGTAGTAATTTATAAACAAAGGATTTTTAAAAATATTGTGAAATGGACGGAACCTTAGGTAAATGATTTTTCCAAGAATCAGATTGTTCGACTATAGGTCTTCCATTTGTTTTGTTATTTTTGTGCATATTTTTATTTTCCGCTTTATGCAAATAATTTAGGGCATCTTCGAACGAATCTTCCTCATCTTCGATATCCATATACTTAAAAATCCAAAAAATATTCAATGTAGAAAATGTTATTTGAAGCAGCACATTGCATAAATTTACTATCTAACCATAGATTTAGCCGATATCTCATAACCGATAATAACACGGGTTCAGCTGATACACAATACCGACACCAAAATAATAATGTATATTTCTTATAAATATAATCATAAATATTATAATGTTCAATCTATTAACTAATTAATCAGAAATAGGAAAAAGCTCTTCTTAGTGATAGTTATCATTTTTAGGTATCGCTCGATACTGATACCTTGAGCACGGTGCATCTACAAAATATCATAGTGACCATACTCTTATAATTGATTTAACATTTGATAAAAGTATTTTTAAGCTCACATCAACTTTTCTTTTATCGTTTTCCTTTGAAGGTTCATCAAAGTTTTGTTGAGATGACACGCTATCTGTCGCCTTTTTAACAATTCTAGCATTCTCACCCTGGCCTTCGTTATATTCGTTCGTCGATGTGGAAGAACTTTGTAAATATATGTTTTTTTATAGTGTAATTAGAATGCCATAACAGTAAAACAAGATTATAAAAATAATAATTGTGAACTAACATTTTAAGAGCCAAATTAATTTTAGTAATGTTTTTAATCTTAAACAATTAAACTGAAAATCTATTAACCCTTTGAGGCAGGATAATATAAATTGGATATTACTTGCAAAATATTAAATTAAAATTAAAACCATCAAAATATTAAAATATTTATATCTAAAGCAGGAGAGGAGTTAGTCAAATATGGCATTTATTATTTTTAAATTATCAGCGTTAAAAACGAAAAAAGATTTGTTTTTAAATAATAAAATTAATTTTGATAAAACATTAAGACCGAGGTATCTTTTAGGTTCTATGTCAATTCAGCGAAACTTTTATCGCGAAACACTTTTTCGAACTTTTATCGCGAATGAATTTTATAGCGAATCCAAATTAGCTAATACTTTTCCGCGACAATATAGCGAATTTTTTATAGCGAAACTCTTATCGCGAAACCTTTAATGCGAATACAATAGAGCGAAAACTATTTCGCGAAATATAACGCGGCCTATTATTATTTTTTTATTTTTATTAAAATAATTTATTTTATTTATATGTTAATAATATTTTATTTATCAACAAATAAACATAATTATATGATATATATTTTTTATTTATATTATTATATTATGAAATGAAAAATAGATTTCTTTTATTTGATATTTTTTTAATAAAAAAAATAATATGCTACTATTGTAATATTATTTTTGCTAAATTTATTAGTGATTTTCACGCCCAAAATTTTAAGAAACATATTTTGATAAAAATTTTTAATCTTTTTTGAGGAATTCTTTTAGTGAATTTTTATTATAAATAAACAATCTTTTAGGTGAAATCTTTTATAGATTTTTTTATCATTTTTGTAAAATTATCTATTTTTTAAGTATATTAAAAGAGGTGGGTTTTCTAAATAATATTTAAAATATTTTTATTTAACTTATTTATGTATATGATTTTTTTATGGATAATAATTTAATCTGACAATTTTTATATTCTTTATTGAAGATGTTCCTTGGAAAAATGACAATTATCATAAATCGGTATTTTTAAAAATATTATATTTTTTTATAGTAAAATATCTATTTTTAACATGTTAAATTTAAATTTTAATTAAGATGCACCATATAAAAGTGACAATTATCTTAATCGTTATTTTTAAAGTTTTTTTGACGTAAATCGGTTAAAATAAGTATTGTTAACATGTATTAATAAAACTTCAGTGAAGATGCACCCTAGATAAGTGACAATTGTCATAATCCTTATTTTTAAAGTTTTTTGAATTATTTTGATGCAAATGGGTAAAAATAGATTGTAAACTTGTTAAATTAAAATTTCATGTAGATGTACCACAGAAAAGTGACAATTGTAATAATCTAGGCCAAAAAAGGTATTGATAACATGTTTAAATAAAACTTCAGTGAAGATGTTAACAAGATAATGACAATTGTCATAATCATTTTTAAAGTTTTTAAATTTTTTTGACGCAAATGGGCAAAAAATAAATTGCTAACATGTTTAAATAAAACTTCAGTAAAGATGTACGCTAGATAAGTGACAATTGTAATAATCGTTATTTTTAAAGTTTTCTGAATTTTTTTGAAGCAAATGGGCAAATATAGAAATTGCTAACATGTTAAAATAAAATATCAATGAAGATGTACCATAGATAAGTAACAATTGTCATAATCGTTGTTTCTAAAGTTTTTTGAAATTTTTTGATACAAAAGAGTAAAAATGTCAAATTAAAATTTCATGAAGATGTATTATATAAAAGTAAACAATTGTCATAATCTTTATTTTTAAAAGTTTATTGAAGCAAATGGGCTAAAATATAAATTGCTAACATGTTAAAATAATATTTCAGCGAAGATGTACCCTAGATAAGTGAGTATAGTCATCATTGTTATTTTTAAAGTTTTTGAATTGTTTGACGCAATTGGACAAAAATATAAATTGTTAACATGTTAAAATAAAATTTCAGTCCAAACAAAAAAACAAATCGCTATTTTCATTATCATAATCGTTGCTCCCTTTATCCTGCTTAAAATTTGATTAAAATATGCAAAATGATTATTAAAGATAGTTGTAATGTAACCTATGTTAAATTCTAAACTTTTAAGATATGGATTCAGAATCTTATTCCTATAATTAATAAATTTTAATTCTACATTATAAAAATGTATAACCTTACATTCATAGTTAGCAAATATTTTTGTATACTCGTGGCAAAATAGTGCTGAGTCTGAATTCAGGGTAGGATTTTTATATAAAGAACCTAAAAACAATATGAATATTATTTAGAAATATGATACAATCAACATCCTATAAATTTAATGTTAAGATTTTATTATGGTTAAAATGGATTACAATCTATATTTTAACACATCAAAGAACTTTAAAAATAACGATTATAAAAATTGTCACTTTTCAATGGTATATCTTCATGAAATTTTAATTTAGCATGTTTACAATCTATATTTTTACCCAATTGCAACAAAAAAATTCAAAAAAACCTTATTAACAACGATTATGACAATTGTAAATTATCTATGGTACATCTTCACTGAAATTTTATTTTAACATGTTTACAATCTATATTTATACCCATTTGCGTCAAAAAATTCAAAAAATTTAAAAATAACGATTATGACAATTGTCACTTATCTAGGATGATACATTTTCACTGAAATTTTATTTTAACATGTTAGCAATATTTATTTTAGCCCATTTCCGAAAAAAAAAAATTAAAAAAGTTATAAAATAACGATTATGACTATTGTCACTTTTTTATGGTACATCTTCATGAAATTCTAATTTAACATGTTTATATATTTTTATCCATTTGCGTTAAAAAAATACAAAAAAACTTAAAAATTGCGATTTTGACAATTGTCACTTATCTAGGGTACATCTTCACTGAAGTTTTATTTAAATATGTTATCAATACTTATTTTGGCCAATTTACGTCAAAAAAAGTTTAAAAATAATGATTATAATAATTGTCACTAATCTAGGGCACACCTTCACTGAAGTTTAATTTAAACATGCTAGCAATATTTATTCTAACCCATTTTGGTCAAAAAAATCCAAAAACTTTAAAAATAACGATTATGACAATTATCACTTTTCAATGGTACATCTTCATGAAATTTTAATTTAGCATGTTTACAATTTATATTTTTACCCATTTACAACAAAAGAATCCAAAATAAACAACGATTATGACAATTGTAACTTATCTATGGTACATCTTCATTGAAATTTTATTCAAACATGTTAGCAATACTTACTTTAGCCCATTTACGTCAAAAAAATTATAAAATAACGATTATGACAATTGTCACTTTTCTATGGTACATCTTCATGAAATTTTAATTTAACATGTTTACAATATATTTTTACCCATTTACGTTAAAAAAATTTAAAAATAATGATTATGATAATTGTCACTTATCTAGGGTACATCTTCACTGGAGTTTTATTTAAACATACTAGCAATACTTATTTTAATGCAATTTGATCAAAAAACATTAAAAATAACGAATATGACAATTGTCACTTTTCAATGGTAGATCTTCATGAAATTTTAATTTACCATGTTTACAATCTATATTTTTACCCATTTGCAACATAAAAATTCAAAAATCTTTATAAACAACGATTATGACAATTGTCCATTTTCAATGATAGATCTTTATAAAATTTTAATGCTTACAATCTATATTTTTACCCATTTGCAACAAAAAAATTCCAAAAACTTTATAAACAACGATTATGACAATTGTAACTTATATCTATGGTACATATTCGCTGAAATTTTATTTTAACAAGTAACAACTTATATTTTTGCCCATTTACGTCAAAAAATTGTAAAAAACTTTAAAAATAATGATTATGACAATTGTCGCTTTTATATGGTACATCCTAATTGAAATTATAATTTAACATGTTAAAAATACATATTTTTGCCCATTAGCGTTAAAAAAATCTAATATGTATATTTATTGTTTTGCGGTAATGCGCTCGCGATAAAAAATTCGCTATAAAGTGGTCGCGTAAAATGTATTCGCTCTAATAAATTCGAGGTTAAAATTTTGGGGAAATAAATTCGCGACAATGGTTTCGCGAAATTGTCTTCGCTATAAATGTTTCGCGGAGATAAATTGGCAGAATTGGTTTCACGATTTTACCTTTGCTATAAAAACTTTTCGCTATAAACGACATTCGCGATAAAAGTTTCGCTGAATTGAGCTGATACGTATCTTTTATGAGTTGTGGTATTAAATTGTGAAAATAATTAAATTAAGGAATTAATTTAGTTAATCAATTAACTAATCTAACCTCCCTAGCAAGTCAGGTGGCATTGAAATTCGATCCCCGCTACAACTTTCCCTTTCAGACTTAATTTCATTCTGTCATGTTCAAATTATCATCAATAGTATATCTATCCACTCCTATAGATCCTGACCTATCCCCGACCTGTACCTTTGGGACAGCAACAGTTAGTCCACCCTTTGTCGTCCTGCCTTCTCAAAAAGACTGGGATGCTCCCTCTTTTGATCACCCATTCCGTTGCATACCTCTTTATGAACAGGCTTATGTGATAAATTTCAATAACATAATTTTAATGGCAAACTCAGGATATGAATGGTTAGATGCTATCCCCAGTTCCAATGTTGGCCCTCATGACTGGGGAACAGGCCTTGGCGGTAATGCTGTAGTACTCTCTATTTGCAACGATTGTGGCCAACCCATCGAATCGAATGCCTACCATCCCTTGCACTGCAAGTTCTCTCGTGGACGACAACCCCGCCATAAATCCATCAACAATATTCTCCTAGCTACCCTCAAAAAAGTTAATATCCGTCTATCCTCAAACCAGTGGGCTCTTCAAATGAAAAAGTCAAACGCCCCGATGGTATATCCCTCATTCTCTG